TAATGATTATTCTTCCAATCAAAAAAAAAAAAAAAAAAAAAAAAAAAAAAACTTCTTTTTCTTCTTTAAATTGTCATGGGGAAAAAAAAAAGTAATCAATTGTTACTTTAGCATGGGGACAGTACATGCCTTTTGTTAGTATATCTTGCAGTGAAAACTAATAATAATTCATTTTTATATGGATGAGTTTAATTTATTAGAGATTTTGATTATTGTGAGTTTAATGGTTGGAATTTGGTTTGGGTGAACATGGTGTGGAATAGGAATGTGAGTATCTCCTCTGTTTTTTTTTTTTTTTTTGCTCAACTTGATGGTAACCATGAGTTAGTTATTTTGTTTTAAGACCTCTACTTTAGCCCTTGCCATTGGGTCATTCCTTGTCTCTATTTCATCTTCCTTCTCTTCTTCTTGTTCCTCAGCCATTTTCTTTCTAGGAATGTAAAAGAAGCGCAATCAGTGCAATTGACAAAAGATTGATTTCTAGGCTTGTAAATGAAATGGTTCACGACTTAATGATTTCAGTTTATCAAACACTAGTTACAACCCAAATTTAAGAACATTAGAAAACCAAAGCTTTAGCTATGTTTAAGCTTTAGTTGGATTGGTTTGAATTATTATAGATTTTCTTTGTTGCGAGTTTAATGGTTGGAATTTGATGTGGGTGATCATGGTGTGGAAGTGTTGCATAAGGTAATATTTATTTTTTTTCTTTTGTTAACAAGGAGAAGTTGATATTTTAGGGGAAACTCTGTCAGTTTTCCATAAAACAAAATATAATCATAATTAATTTTGATATGGATTGGTTTGAATTATTATAGATTTTATTTATTGTGAGTTTAATTGTTGGAATTTGGTGTGGAAGATCATGGTGTGGAAGTGTTGCATAAGGTCATATATATATATATATTTTTTCTTTTGTTAATAAGGGAAAGTTGATATTTTAGGAGAAACTCTACCAGTTTTTCCATAAGACAAAATATAATCATAATTAATTTTGATATGGATTGGTTTGAATTATTATAGATTTTATTTATAGCGAGTTTAATGGCTGGAATTTGGTGTGGGTGATTATGGTATGGAAGTGTTGAATATTTTTATATATTTTTTTTTCTTTTTCTAACCAAGGAAGTTGATATTTTGGGGGGAACTCTACCATTTTTTTTTAAGGAAAATGTGTTTTTGATTAATTTAATTAATTTTAATATTTGCATGCAGAGAACATATTATTGGGAAGAGGACAATGCTCGCATCTGTAGGATTTGGAGATTATATTGTTGGAATCGTTTCCGGGATGAGCTTCATCGAGTTAGAAAGGCATGGGAGACATCCAAGAAATTACTCAAGTTCATGCATAAGGACACTTTCAAGATTTTACTAGCAAAATGGAAGAGTCCAAAATATATTGTGCTACAATATATCGTGCACGTGTGACCACACAATTGGATGCATAGGAGTTGGGATCCATGAGGATCGACTAGTTAGTAGAATATAGTTATATATATTGTTGAAAGTTACCATTAATTTTTGGCATATGATGTTAATTAAGTACCACTTCTTAACATATAATTAAAGGAGATCAAAAGGAAAGCATGATGGCCATTTCTAACCCTTTAAAAAGAAATATTTTAAACCACCTATTAATGCTAAATTGTTTAAAAAAAATAAACCAAATGATACTTAACAGGAAAAAATATTTGCATGATGGCTGTGAAAGATACTTGAAAATTAAAATTCAATATTAAACAACAACACTTTTTCTTTCTCAATAATGCAACTAAATTAAAAAAACACAAAGCAAATGGTTATATTTATTTCTTAATATTTTATTTACATTCCTTACCTTTTCTTTACTAATCTTCATCCAAATATATTCTAAAATTTGATTTTATTGATGTTTTAATAGGCAACAAAGAGGGGAGGAGTTAGGCCTACAGCTTTGGAGTCATACATGTTGACTCACACAACTCATAGACCTGATACTCAACAAGGTGGCCCACCTGCTTGGATATGTCTACAGATTGAGCAGACTTATGTAAGTGTCAAATTTTTTTATGATATTAATTATTATTATTTTTAATTTTAATGGAATTTTAATTACAATAACTAATGAAAATTTCTTTTTGGATCAGAATGATGCTCGTGAAAAGTATGTGGAAAAGTATGGGCCAAACAAGGACTTATGACCAGCATGGGATCTGTTGTACCTATGATTTTGATGATTACAAAACACATTTGAGTGACTAATTGGTTTATTTAAGTGTGTAGTTAAGTTGCTAAAAGATTGCAAGTAAATTTGGATTGCACTAAAAATAGACCAAAAGAATTGAAAATGTGTAGCGAGCCGACTCTTAAAAGCTGCAGCCAGCTCTGGTGAAATGGAAGTGCAAAGAGCTAGCTTTAGAAGCTGCAGCCGGCTCTACGCGTAAAGATTTAAAGGTTCGTTGCTTGGCCGCCGAAGAAAAGACACAGAGCTAGCTTTAACTTTACAGCCGGTTGTAAGGGAGCATTTAATGCACAACGGTCGACTTATTTGAAAAATAGTTCATATTTTTAAAGTCAAAATATCAAAGTCGGCTTTACGTTTTTGCAGCCGGCTGTCCAAGAAAACAGAATGTTCAACAAACTCGCAAAGTCATTTTTGCGTTTTGCAGCCGACTCTACGGAGAAAACAAAATGTGCAAAATCCCACAAAGTCGGCTGCAGAAATGGTGAGCCGGCTGTAGGAAGATAAGCTAGCTCTCTTGACAATCCTACAACTCGAGCTTTGTGTCCTACAGAGCATTTAATGGCCCCCAACGGCTAGAAACAGCTATTTTCGAGCAAGGGGCTATAAATATGGTTGGTAACAAATTTGAAGAAGTTTAGAGAGCATTGTATTGAATATCTTTACCTACCAACTTATGTTTTAACTTGAGATTTTGATCTTTGAGAGATCTTTATTTGTAATCCTCTTCTTATTCTATTTGTGAGTAATCTTAGGAGTGTGATTATTCCTTTAAGAATGATTTGTAGAGAGGATTGTTTGGGTTTGTCTTGTAAAGGGGTAAGATTTGAGAGAAACACCCTTCTTCTTGTAAAAGGATTGAGTGGCTCCTTTAACCCACCCTTGATTTTGTTAGTGGAGAGTATGGAGGAAATCCTTGGTGAGTGAAGCCAAGGTAGAGGACTAGGTTCCAAGTGGTTGGACCAAACCTCTATAAAATCCAAGTTCTTCTTCTCTACTCTCTTTAATTTTGGTGTTGTGGTTGCAAAAGGGGAGAATTTTTGGAACTCCAATTCATACCCCCTTGGAGTACATTGAGTCAACAGGATCCATAAATCTGGAAAGAGGTAGTTGGATCCCCTAAAAGGGGTTAGATGTGAGGGATGTCCACACTATAGGATCTTGCAGAGCATGGCATACCATGGCAACGATATGAGATTAGTGAGGTCTCATCTTCTACCACTAGGATGCTTATGACGCAAGTCCAGCAGTTGCAATTTGAGCTTATGCAAGTTCAGGAAGAAATGGCAAAGCGAGTTTAGGCAGAGGTGACTGCATGTATTTAGATAGAGCTCTCACAGAGAGTATAAAAAATGGAGGCTACTTTTGAGAGGAGATTCCAAGAGCATATGCGTTTACCTAGCCAACAGTACTCATATATAAGTTTTGCACCACTTGGTGGTCCTTCTTTTGGAGGGTTGGAACCTAGCTACATGTCACCTCTTCCTTAGAGATATTTGATATTTTGGACTTATGATATATCTGTTTATATATGCCTAATACACTAGATATTTTGTGTAAATATGTAGTAATTTGAACTACTTTTAGTTGTGTATTATTAGAATATATAATAGGAAATATATAATATTGCATAAAAATAGTAATAAAATTTTAAATTAAAAAAAATAGCATATAAGTAAAAAATAACATAACACTTTATTGAGAAATAATACAATAGTTTTAACAAAAACAACATTGCATACCAATTTTAGAGGAATTGTTATGGGCACAAATTATTATAAAATTGACAATAAGGCTATCAATTACATTTATAACCAATAGAAAATAAGGTTGTCGATTATGATTAAGCTTGCCACCAAAAAAATTGAAAATCCTTAGCAGTTTAGAATTCAAAATATAACCAATAGAATTTCTGTCTCATATATTGGTTATATAACCCTCTTCTCCCTCCGAACATCCAATTGTCTTGCATTTCTAGTTCTTTTTACAGTTTCTTCTACCTATCTCCACCTCTTTCGTTTCCCATATGTAAGGCATTTTTTTTTTTTCAACCTTTTCTCCCTTTCCTTTGTTTTCTTTCATCTTTTATTTTCTCAACTAAGAATTTCTATTATTTGATATATTAATAGCTAGGTTTTTTTTTTAATTTTTAATTTTTGTAGGCTGTATTTCTTATTTTAAATTTGATTTATACTTTTCATTTTCTTTTATTTCAACAACATCATAATGTATTTCAATTTAGATTCCTTTTCTTTTCTTTTCTTTCTTTCATTTTTTTTTTTTTTGCAAAATTGTTATCTCAAAATAAGGTAAGTTCTCATTTTAAATTTTTTTATGTTCATTTATTATTTTTTGTAATGTTAGTTTTTATATTACTTATCACTTTATTTCATATATACTTATATTGTTATAGGGACTTGGAATTTTTGTTGAATTCCATTTGATGATTGCTTGTAATATAATTAATTGAAAAAAAAAAAACAAATAAAAATCAGGATGCTGTTGGATTCTATACTTTTTTTTTGTTGAGCTATAGTGCATATAATTGATAGCCATGAGTTGTCGATGATGTTATTCCAAAAAAAAAAAAACATAATTGACAAACCTTGGCTGTCGATGATAACTATAATTGACAACCGTATAGGTTGTTGATTATATTATTTCAAAAATCAAAAGATAATCGACATACTATATTGCTATCAATTATATATATAATCGATAGCTATAAGCTGTCGATTATGGTTATAATCGACATCCTTTTAGTACTGATTATACTACTTTGTATTTCGCCCAATTACCTTTGTACAATTCATCATCGACAATATTTCTGTCGCTTAAAGTTATATAACTGACAACCTAAATTTCTGTCGATTATATTGATTTTTGACTCCAGTTTATCCGTCAAACTTGGTTGTTGATTATGTCTGTCAGTTATAGTTATAACCGACATAATTATTTTATACTTGGTAACTTTTTCTGTCGATTATACTTTGTTTTCCAGCAGTGTTCAATTAATGAAAATCACATTTTATTTAACATATCGCATCATCACATGTCATGTCTTTAATTGAAAGTTGATGTGTGTTATACCCTAAATGGAGTCCTATGAGAATTAGGAGTTGAACTATCTTGAAAGAGTTCTATCATGATTAGATATGCCAAATCCCACTAGGACTATACCCAATACCAACACAAGTAGAGTTGTAATCTTAGGGTGATTCTATGCAATATCCTATAAATACCCCAATGTTACACATAGGAAAGGGATTATGATTGTTTTTCTTCATTCTCTCTCTATTGTAAGCTTTCTTCATTCTTTTTCAATAAAGTACTTGATTCCACACCATTTCTACTATTTTTTAGTATTAACATTTGGTATCCACTATGGGGTCGAGTTCTTTTTTATCAAAGATCAACACATGGTGAATTTTGTCGACGAAAACTCATTGTTGCCATACATGGATACTCCAAGTTTTGGAAACAATGGAGAAACAAGTGGTTTTTCTTCCTCTTGAATGAATTCTAGAGATGTGCCAAATGGAGTGATACTAAGATATCTGCCCTTGTGATATAAAAAGGCTAATTGCAAAGCAATTGAGTAAGCTGCGACCTCTTTGATGGATGTTGTAAATATTTTGACACAACACAAGTTTAAGATAGGTGCATCAAAGACAAGAAGCACAAAGGATTTCGCCGCCTCTAACTAGGAACAGTTGTACCATGGATTTATGATGCAACCTTTTTACAACAACACCCTATAAATGGAAGCACGCAGGTTTACAACAATAATATATATAAAAATAGATGTGCAACATTAGTATATGGAAAGGTAAAGGTGATTCGACAAAGGTATTTAGAGGTGGCATACACAGATTTGGTTGAAAAAGCTTTTGCTGACGAAGTTATAAAAGAACTTGTGCCATCAAACTTCAAACCTTTGTAGTTGATAGAATACTATGAAACATAAGATTTGGTGGAACATGTGCAAGCTTTCAAGATGGCAATGATGGTCTATAAAGCTTCTAACATTCTTTTGCACAAATAGTTTCTTGCAACTTCCAAGAAAGCTATGTAAACCTAGTTCACAATATTGTCAAATAGCTCGTTTTCACAATAAAGTAGTGTATATAAAAAATTTAGATCAAGAAGTTGCAATGCATAGGTTTTACAATCTCTACATAAATGGAAAAAATGAAAAGAAAGTTTTAAAAACAAACAATTATGTGTCCTACTTAAAAAAGTAGCATTGGTTTTAATAATCGGCCAAGAGGAGGATGGTGAGGTCTAGATTTAGAGCGAAGGACGACGAGACTTGGGGGGTTGCGGCAACTCCAAACGGTGGCAAGGGTAGAACTGGAGGACTAGGGATTTTGAGAACTGGAGACAGGGACAGATGGAGTCGTTCTTCTTTTATAGTTTTCTAGAAAATTGGGACGCAAAGGCTTTATGGCATCGTTTTCAAGAGTGTGGAAGGGTTGGTGATGTGTTTGTGCCATCTAAGAGGGACAAATGGGGGAAAAGGTTTGGCTTCGTTAGAATGATAGGGGTGTAGGATGTATAGCAACTGGAAGGGAGGCTGAATAAGATATGGATTGGTTCTGATAAACTGCAAGCAAAAGTAGCCATTGACAGAGGGCAAAGAGGGACAGATCATCAGAAGAAAGCTGGAATGAAGGTTAGTATCAGGGAGCAGAGTTTTGTCAAACCAGGGTGGTCATATGTCTAGGCTGTTAAGGGAAATTCTTTGAGGATAGTGGGAGCCCAGGTTTAGAGAAAAACAATAAGAGCACAGAGGAGAGCTAAACCCGTGGATAGGGTATCTATCACTCAAGGGAAGCCTTTGGAGCTTGAGGTAGCCAGATCTGGTGAGAAGGTCAATGGTGGTACAGTAAGAGAAAATAGGGAGGCGATTATAGACTTTCCTCCATCCAAAGAGGAAAATAAATGGTTGGAAGGGAGTATGGTAGCAGTGGTAAGGTCAATGTCAATGATATCTAATATACAAGAGAGAGTAGACGTCAATGGGGGGTTGATCAATCTATCACCATTAGGAGGGTGAAGTTTATTGTTAACTGAAAGATTGGAAGGTTACTTAAGTGAGTATATACAACATAACAAGGAATTATTTGATCTGTGGTGTGAGGTTATCTATCCATGGGCCGTGGCTCTTTTTAATAGTGGTAGAATGGTCTGGTTGAGAATTTCTAGTGTCCCATTAAAAGCATGGTGTTACAGGTGCTTTGAGCGAATAGCAGAATCGGTGGGGGAAGTGGTAATGCTTCATGTAGACACAAAATCAAAATCTATATTGTGTGATGGAAGAGTTTTAATTTTATGTGCTGAAAAGCACAAAATTTCAAAAACCTTGAAGCTGAAGGTGGAGGAGAAGATGTATAAGATAATAGTGATAAAGGAAGAGTGGTGCGCTGATCTAGACTGGTGGTTGGCAGAGGATGAGCAACATGGAGAGACAACAACGGAATTGAATATTCCTTGTCCGAAAGTGGAGATGAGGATCCTGAATTGATGTCATCCGAGATTTGTGGCGATGATGAAGCCAATATTGATTAGGATCTGTTGCAGGAGAAGGGCATTTTGAATTTAAATAATAAAGAAGTAATGATAGTCGTGCAATTGATAAGAGAGGAAGAGAATGGGCCTGTTACGAACTTGGGCCTATTGTTGGAATCCAATTATGGGCTGAAAGAAGGGTCTGGGCTAGATTTGAGACTAAAGTGTAAGAAATAGGAGGATTGGGGTCAAAAACAAATTCGGGTAAAGTAGGAGAGCAGCAAGGTACATCTGGGGGGGAAATAAATAATATTTTACATTTGGGTATTAGGGATTTGAGAGAGAAGAAAAGAAAAGATCTCAAAGATTGTTACCCACAAGTGCAGGCAACCAATTGTGTAGCGGGATCTTAATGGATTGCAAGCCGAACAACGCTAAGATCACATAGAGTCCACAAATTGCAGTAGGTGGCGACGATGCAGGAATAGCGTGCTGGAAGCTCATTGTTGTCGGATGGGTGCATAGTTAACCGAAACTAGGTGATTCAAAGAGAGATGAATCTATAGGAGGTAAGGAGGATAT